CACAGCGGGGTAAGTCGGCTGCGATACATCGAATTCAGCTACGCTATTCACGTAGCTGAATTTGCATATCTTAACTAGACACCCCCCCCACCCCCCGTAGTGTAGATGTAGCCCTAGACTTCTTGTTTTGGGAGAAATCTTCTGCTCTGTTCCTACACATTCTTTAAAGGCCAATAATAATTTCTCTCCCCAAAGCTCCAAATTATTCCCCTAACTAATATTTAACATTCGTGAGAAAACAGAGCTTTGCTTTCCACTAAAGCTGGGTAGGGAAACTTTTCCCATCCTGCAAAAATATTTGAGATTTCCAACATTGTCTTTTTCCACAATGGGATGAAACCACGACCTTTCCTATTTTTTCCATGAACAGAGAAAGGCACTCAAGAATAGGCCTTAGCCAAGTGATTAGGGAAGTCTTCTGGGATGTGGGAGACCTCTGAACCAGTCAGAGTAGGGACTTGAACCAGGGTCTCCCACTTCCCTAACCACTTGGCTAACTGCCAGGCTACTCTGGGGTAAGTATCTTTCCCTCTGGTTTTTAAATGGAATTCCATCCTCAGAAACCTTGTTGAAAACAGCCTTTTCCCCACAAAAAGTTTGTTTTGACAAATTGGCGTTTTCAGACAAAAAAAATGCTTCATCAAAAAATTTCAGATAAGCTCCTACCTGTTGATGCAGGGGCCTGGAGAAGTCCTGTCCACTCTTCTGTGTATGCTGATTCAGTCTATATTGAGATAATAACAACCATGCTATACTTACCCTAAGCAGGAAGAGAAAGAGAGAGCCATGGTTTACTTTTGAGTGTCATACACAGATGCTCTGGTAATGGGCACCAGTATAAGAATGTAGACAGAATCTTTATTTGAATGCAGCCCAAAACTTGGGGTGTTGGCCAGGGTCAGAAAAGGATGAAATATAATAGTGAAAAGTGCAAGGTCATGCATTGAGGGATTAATAACAAGAATTTTTTTATAAGCTGGGGACTCATCAGTTGGAAGTAACAGAGGAGGAGAAGGACCTCGGAGTATTGGTTGATCACAGGATGACTATGAGCTGCCAATGTGATATGGCCATGAAAAAAGCTAATGTGATCTTGGGATGCATCAGGCGAGGTATTTCCAGTAGAGATAAGGAGGTGTTAGTACCATTGTACAAGGCACTAGTGAGATCTCATCTGGAATACTGTGTGCAGTTCTGGTCTCCCACGTTTAGGAAGGATGAACTCAAATTGGAACAGGTACAGAGAAGAGCTACTAGGAATGGAAAACCTGTTTTATGAAAGGAGACTCAAAGAGCTTGGCTTGTTTAGCCTAACCAAAAGAAGACTCAGGGGAGATATGATTGCTCTCTCTATATATATATATCAGATGGATAAATACCAGAGAGGGAGAGGAATTATTTAAGCTCAGTACCAATGTGGACACAAGAACAAATGGATGTAAACTGGCCATCAGGAAGTTTAGACTTGAAATTAGATGAAGGTTTCTAACCATCAGAGGAGTGAAGTTCTGGTACAGCCTTCCAAGGGGAGCAGTGGGGACAAAAGACATATCTGGCTTCAAGACTAAGCTTGATGAGTTTATGGAGGGGATGGTATGATGGGATAGCCTAATTTTGGCAATTAGTTGGTGTTTGACTATTAGTGGTAAATATGCCCAATGGCCTGTGATGGGATGTTAGATGGGTTGGGATCTGAGTTACTACAGAGAATTCTTTCCTGGGTGTCTGGCTGGTGAGTCTTGCCACATGCTTAGGGTTTAAGCTGATCGCCCTATCTGGGATCAGAAAGGAATTTTCCTCCAGGGCCGATTGGCAAAGGCCCTGGGGGGGTTTTCACCTTCCTCTGCAGCATGGGGAACGGGTCACTTGCTGGACAATTCTCTGCACCTTGAAGTCTTTGAATCATGATTTGAGGACTTAAATAGCTCAGACATAGGTTAGGGCAGGGGTAGGCAACCTATGGCACGCGTGCCGAAGGCGGCACACGAGCTGATTTTCAGTGGCACTCACAGTGCCCAGGTCCTGGCCACCAGGTGTCTGGGGGACTCTGCATTTTAATTTAATTTTAAATGAAGCTTCTTAAACATTTTAAAAACCTTATTTACTTTCCATACAACAATGGTTTAGTTATATATTATAGACTTATAGAAAGAGACCTTCTAAAGACGTTAAAATGCATTACTGGCACGCGAAACCTTAAATTAGAGTGAATAAATGAAGACTTGGCACACCACTTCTGAAAGGTTGCTGACCCCTGGGTTAGGGGTTTATTACAGGATTGGGTGGGTGAGATTCTGTGGCCTGCGTTGTGCAGGAGGTCAGACTAGACGATCATAGTGGTCCCTTCTGACCTTAAAGTCTGTGACTCTAAAAGCATTTGAGGAGCACAGATCTTAAAAACAATCAGTCTGTATACATTCCTGCATTACCTAAGGCTTACAGATTCCCTGGATCTAGAGAAAGACAGAGCTCCTTCTGACTCCTCTGTAGACCTTTTCCCTGTGTCAGTCTGTCCCCCGACAGCCTCTGACAATTGACATTTTTCTGGGGCACCCTATTTTTCTGGGAGCCCAGCAAGGCCGGCTGGAGGGAGGGAGAGGTGGCCAGATCACTCCTACCCCTCTGCCCGTCATAGCCTGCCCACCCAAGTGTCCCCTCCTCCCTATGCCACTGCTGTACCAGTGGGTCCCCAGTATATGTCATTTCGATGTCTGTCACCCTTTTCAAGAACACTACCCCAAGCCGCTGTACCTGAATCAGACCAGGGACTTGATCCTGAATCTCCCACCTCCCAAGTGAGTATTCTAACCTAGCCAGGGAAAGACTATTCTATAGCCTTCGGTGGCTAGGGCACCAAATTAGGCAGAGCAGGGTTTTGAACCTGCGTCTTCCATCGCCCGATGAATGCCCTAATCAGTAGGTTCTTCTGAGGTGGGTGTCTCTGGTTTCACAAAAATTTCATCCTGGACCTGAGAAACCGTCCTGATTAAAGCACTGTCTGAACTGATACGTTTCCACAAAAAGTTTCTGGCAAAAATGTTATGGCAAAAAATTCCTAACCAGTTCCATTTAGAATACTATCAATATAATTATTTTAAATATATCCACCTTAGTTACTTCTTTTTTCTACATGCCCCTTTGTTCTTTTTTATTCTTTCTCTTTTCTTCATTCTTACCTCTCCCCCAGATCCAAACTCTGCCCTTTATGTTTAGAACAACCAGTCAAATCTAGGCAAAACCAAACATAGCATGCGCTTGAGTCCTGTCTCCCTATTTAAACATTTGGGTTACTAAAAGTCAGCTTTCCAGACATAAGCCCATCTTTCTACAATGATTATACAATATTAAAATGGTAAATATTGCACACATGTAATACCTTTTAAAAATCTTATGTTCAGATTTTCATAAGTTTGGATTTGTGTATGAAAATATAAAATGATTTTCCTATGCCTATCTTCAAGAGCACTAACCATCTCTAATAGTAATACAATAACTATACAGATTTTTTTAACACAACATATGATTTTCCTGTGCCACTCTGTACCATGTGTCCTATTCGAGTTGTGACAGAACTCTGCTCCAGAGAGGTAATGCAAAGAGAAGAACAACTGAGAAGGGAAGGATGAGAAAAATGGAAGGAAAAGGGTGGGAGGAAATTATCTCACTCTCCTATTCTATTTTTCCTCTCTTTGTATCACAATATGTGTCCTTGTGCCAGAATGGGTTGTGGGTTCACTGGTATCATGTTTAAAAAGTCTTTGAATTTTGTTGGAGCTACACAGTCTGATACTGTTGAAGATAATTTGTATAGTTATTTGAAGCAAATACCATCACAGGATATTTTTATTCATCACAATGACAAATCATGAAACACAATATAATTAAATATAACTTTCTGCCTTTTCAGTTTAATGTAATGTTTGGCATTTTGCAATTTGGATTTGTTTTAACTGAGGTTCTCCCAATGACTGTATGGAGAAGTGTGTGTGTTGGATGTTTATTGCATGAGTCATTGTGACTGTAAGATAGTTCCATGTTTGAAAAACTTCAAGCGCCATCTGCTGTCTGAAACAAGCTACTGTGCATTTCTTATTTGTTAACACATCTGGAAATGCAAAGAAATCTACTCTTATAAACAGCGTATCTGTTTAATCTTTGAAGATTAAATTTTTTTTAGATACTTAGTGAATCACTAGGACTTGAAAATTTATTTCAGATCCTTACCTTTTCATATTTGCTGTGATATTATTGCCTGAAAACTATGAATCAGTGGCTAGTATTGTGTAATAATGTGTTTGGAGCTTCACACTGACAACTTTTTTCCCTGTTTTAATAAATAGCAGTGACAGTATTAAAAGGTGTCCTTGATGCTTTATGAGTTTAAATTGTATTGCACAGATAATAGAAATACATCTATAATTTTGATATGAGCTATTTATGTTGTGGCTGCTAGGTTTTCTATCAAGACCTGTGTTATGTATGAAACTTTAATAATGCATCTTCTTATAAGAAAAATAACTTTTTCTGAAAGCAGCATCTTGCAAGGGTGTTTTACTCTCTACAGTACAGTAAATGTTTCTGTTAAAATCTGATGAGACAAAGCAGAAATTGATTCTTTATTTCTCTATTTTCTAATAGGTGGCAGATAATGGAAAACCTCAGTTGTCATCTTTGACTTACATTGACATTAGAATTATTGAGGAGAGCATCTATCCCCCGGCAATTCTGCCGCTAGAAATCTTTATTACAGCCTTTGGAGAAGAATATTCAGGTGGTGTCATTGGGAAAATCCATGCAACTGATCAAGATGTTTATGACACTTTAACATACAGTTTGGATCCCAAGATGGAATCCTTATTCTCTGTCTCTAGCACAGGTGGTAAACTGATAGCACATAAAAGGCTAGACATAGGACAGTACCTCCTGAATGTCACTGTTACAGATGGAAAATTTACTACTGCAGCTGACATTACAGTGCACATCAGACAAATCACGCAAGAATTGCTAAACCACAGCATTGCTATACGCTTTGCAAACCTCGCACCTGAAGAATTCATTGGTGACTACTGGCGCAATTTCCAGAGAGCTTTAAGAAATATTTTGGGTGTGAGAAGAAGTGACATACAGATTGTTAGTTTGCAACCCTCTGATCCTCCTTCAAACCTCGATGTACTACTGCTTGTTGAGAAATCTGGTAGTTCTCAACATCCAACCAGAATTCTACTCCAGAAGATAAATTCCTCTGTAGCTGACCTTGAAGAGATCTTAGGTGTCCGGATACTTGACGTTTTCCACAAGCTTTGTGCAGGCTTGGATTGTCCTTGGAAATTTTGTGAAGAAAAAGTGACCATAGATGAGAATTCCATGTCAACCCACAGCACAGCCAGGCTGAGTTTTGTCACTCCACGTCATCACAGAACAGCAGTTTGTCTTTGCAAAGGTAAGGAAAAGATGTACCCTGAAAATAAATGATATAATTTCAAACAACCAGAGACATTAATGGTATATTCATTTTATAGTCCAAACACTAAAAATATGCTATAGCCACCATTGACACAATTGCACCCTTTCATGCTAAATAAGAGAAGAATAAGGAAATGATTTTGGGGTCGTTCTTGCCCCACATACAGCTGTCCACCTTTTGATAGCTTATCCAGTGTAAAGCCATAAGAGGGTTTTTGGTTTCTAAAGCATTCTACTTATTTGTTTTATAAAAGTGAACATCCCATTCTGCAGCCCTACCTTGCTTCTTGATTGAAGGCTCAGATAGTTGCCTGTCTTTTGACATGCAAGTCCACGCAAAGCACCTTTCTATCTCCCTGGTGCTGCTTAGAATGTTGCTCCACACAACATCTGGACAGTGCCAAGAGCCTTAGCTTCAACTGGCATAGTAAAACATGGCTGCAGAACAGGATGGATCGAGTCAGACCCTCCATGGAAGTAAATGAAGCTATGCTGATTTACACCACGTGAGGATCTGTCCTATGAATCTTTTCTAAAAAATAAAAAAAAAATAGGTACAGTATTATTTTCTAAAATAATTAAGGTTTTATAGTAGGTGAGGGATCACATCTTTTGAAGGCCTTCAAAAAAACAAAACAAACAAACAAACAAACAAAACCTCCACTAAAATAATATCTACCTGGATTTACCTTGGTAAGCTGGCACATTTTTATTTCAGAGTTTCTGCTGGCAGGCGCTGAAATCATGACTGTTTAGGAATTCCATAGCTATCGTATATACTTGCTACCTAGCCTATTTTCTTGTCAGTCACCCAAAATAACTACCACTTTCATTCCCATTGTCTAAAGTTAAGAACTTTGTTTTATATTTTATGTTCAAGGTGGTTTTGCTTTAAATTACCATGCCTGAAAAATAAACCACTTATTCTGTTTTACAGAAGGGAAGTGCCCCCTTGTGAATAATGTGTGTGAAGGAAATCCATGCCCCGAAGGTACTGAATGTATAGCAGATCTTAAGGAAGGAAAGTACACCTGTGTTTGCCATAATGACAAGCCTGGCCAGTGTCCTGGTGAGATTTTAATTCTGAAATGCTTTGGATAAGTCTGCAGTACTTTGAAAGGGAACTTTGGCTTTAATCTTGTGTTAAATCATTTCATGCCTGTCTGTCTTTTTTAAGCATCAGTTGGTTCGTCGGTGACATTTACTGGGAGCAGCTATGTGAAATATCGTCTCTTGGAAAATGAAAACAAAGAGGAAATGAAGCTCACAATGAGGCTTAGAACATATTCAACCCATGCAGTTGTCATGTATGCCCGAGGAACAGACTATAGTATCTTAGAGGTATATTATAATCTACCATTGCATAAAACTCTACCTCATACTTTGCTTTTACATCAGCCTAATTAAAAGATATTTTTATTACCAGAGTTTAAAGATTTAATAATTCCATCATTGCAGAATTTTCATAATGAATATTGCCTTCAAAGTAAAAAACGTATTGTTATTTATCCAGATGACAGCAAACATTTATCAAAAGCTTTTTTTAAATGTGTAATAATTCCTTTTCTTTAATAAAACTGATCCTTCACTCTTGTTACAGCTGATGGTATTTATCTAAAACTATCAGCTTTAAAATAAAGATCAGTCTTTTTTAAATATGCTGATAATATCATACAGAAATGATATTGAAGATATATTCTTGAAACCGCTCCCAAGTGGGAACACTGAAGAAGGAGACCCTGGTTCTTCAAACATTCTCTAATTAATCTGTTTAACAATCTGTCACATCCTTTACCACGGGAAAAAACAAAGACAAAGTAAAGCACACACATTTTAATTAAGCCAGACAAAGAGCCATATGCGCAATGATTCATCATCATCATGAAATATAACATCAATAAACCTCCTGTATGAACAACATCTAATAATGCTTTGTCATTTCTTTAACATAATTGGAAACCTCTACTGGCATAACTATTTAGCATATTTGCTTAAGGTGATAATGTTAGTTGATTGTCACATTGAGTAAAATAAAAGCTAATGATGTGTGGGTGTTTGTTTTGTTTTCCTCCTACATAGATTCACCATGGGAGGCTACAGTATAAATTTGACTGTGGCAGTGGTCCTGGCATTGTCTCAGTACAGAGTATTCAGATTAATGATGGTCATTGGCATTCAGTGTCTCTTGAAGTGGATGGAAACTATGCCCGGCTGGTTCTGGACAGGGTGCACACTGCATCTGGTACTGCTCCTGGCACGCTTAGAACACTAAACCTAGATAACTATGTATTTTTTGGTGGACATGTTCGGCAACAAGGTACAAGGCATGGGAGGAGTCCACAGGTCAGCAATGGTTTCAGAGGATGTATGGATTCCATTGTACTTAATGGGCAAGAGCTACCACTAAACAGCAAACCGCGGAATTATGCACATATGGAAGAATCTGTAGATGTATCTCCTGGGTGTTTACTCACTGCTACTGAAGGCTGTTCAAGCAGTCCTTGCCAGAATGGAGGCATATGCAATCCACTGCCCAATGGAGGTAGGCTTTATTTATTCTTTTGCTGGTTGTTTTAAGTCACTTATCCAATCCTCTGATCCTGGGCCATAAGTTTTTTCTAAGAGGGGTGTTGAGTGGGTGTGGGTTCTGGAATTGTTTATATTTCTATTAACAAATATTGTCTCCATCCAAGCCATTTTGGGTTCTTTTTTCTATTTGTTTGATTAAAACTTGAGAAGTTAGATTTCCTTTCCCTTCAGAGGAGATATTGACTACCAACCTGCCCTTTCCCCCATCCCACCCCCGTAGGTTTGAAATGGTAGATTCTTTGAATGCACTAAAGGCATGCCTTTCATACAGTGTTTGCTTGACTTTAGGTTATTATTGCAAGTGTGCTGCTTTGTTTATGGGAACCCATTGTGAAGTGAGTGTCAATCCATGTGCCTCCAATCCTTGCCTTTATGGTGGCACTTGTATTTCGGTCAGTGATGATTTTGTCTGCCAGTGCAGAGGACAGTACACTGGTCAGAGGTACGTCTTCATTGTTTGTTATAAAAATGCAAGTCATTACATTCAATGTCTATACTCTTTATATAAATCTATAATGTGTTACTGTAACAAGAATGCCTCTGGAGTCCTACAATATAAATAAGATTCTGTATATCTTCTTCCATCTACTTTATTTAGGGCCTGACCTGTGAGGTCTCGGATACCCTTGTGTCCACTGAAGTCAGTTGAAGTTGATGGCACTCAACACTTTACAGGATCAGGGCTGTATTTTGTACCATTTATGGGAAGAAGATAATTTATACATTTTTTCCCTTTCCAGGTGTCAGTTGGGTCCATATTGTAAAGACAACCCTTGCAAAAACAGTGGCAAGTGTATTGATAGTTTGGATGGGCCCGTTTGTGAGTGTGAGGCTGGTTTTCGTGGAGAAAGGTTAGTAGCTTCGTACATCTGGTTACATTTACAGTTTTAGCAACATTACTTTTATTAGCACATAACTGAATTAGTACAAACACAAGAACATTTAGCATGGGCTGGAACCCTTAGAATTTTGTAACAATGAAAACTCAAATTTTGCAGGAAGATTCTGTCACTCAGATTAATTATGCTTAGTATGTCCCACCCTTAATAGTTCTAAAATAGGTGCTTACCTTGTATGCACAATGTTTATATCTTACTCAAATGCACATTAGAGATGTATCTGGATTCCTTCATGACAAAGACTGTCCAGAATATTAAACCTTCAAAGCTCTCATAGTAGTACATCACAATGCAAACAACATAAATTTGGAAGCTGTATTCCTTGCACATTTGATCACTGGATCCACACTGTCTTAAGAGAAAAGCGTTTCTTTTAGGGCTGTCTTTTCCATATCAGCTGGTGTGGAATTTATAGACCTAATTTCCCTTTCTGAAGGAAAGACTCATCAGTATGTTAATATTTTCAGTTTGTATATTTGTAAATAAGGAAGCACTCATATTTTTGTGTCAGGATCAAAAGAGGCAGTCTTGTCCTAATCTGTTTTTAATCAACTAATGCCGTAATGGAAAATTGAAAATGTCATTTGCAGTTCATTCTGTAAACTGCAATGTTTTGTCCTTATTCACATTGTTTCACAGTTGTTTCTGAGCAAAGTGCTCAAACATAATTCTTCAGCAGCTTGGCAGCAAAAAGCATTAGAACTTCCCTATCACACCTCAAGCATGGGAGCTTCTGCTATTTGCAGTATAAGGTGCTGCTCAGCATAAATAAGGATGGCCAAATCTTGCCCTAATAAAATTGTTTGTGTCAAGATGAAAAACCACAGATAAGGAGGCATGAAGCTTACAAGTGAAGCTCCAGCTCCTCCAGTGGGATTCACTTATACAGAAGCCTGTACCCGAGTGGAATTCACATCAGTAGATCCCATTATGGGATATGGGTTTAGGGACTCTAGTTTGGACATAGACAAACCAGTTCAGTTAATATTGTTGATGGTACAAGGTTGAAATGGTGAAGAAAGTTTGGTGTCTCAGCCTTGTCATCTTTGAAAAACTTATATTTTAGGAAAGTGTAAAATGGATGTCACTTAGCAATGAGAAATTTATGCTTGACCCCCTAGATGCTGTGGTAACATTTGTGCCCTCCACACTTGAAGAGTTAACAACCCCTTTTTTATTTTGGGGGAAACAGCAGTGAAAAAACGCAGGTAAAAATAGTATCTGTACTCCCCAGATCAGAAAACAGTAAATAATAAAATAGCAAATTGTACAGCAAAATGTAAATTCTGTATATTAAAAAACAAAACAAATCTGCAACTGCTGAGTACTAGGAGTTTCATGTAGTATTAGTTAATTAGCATCAACATTCACTATTATTTCTCTGCTCTGGCAGGTGCCTGACTGATGTTGATGAATGTACAGAAAACCCATGTCTCAATGGTGCCCTTTGTGAGAACACACATGGCTCATATCACTGCAATTGTAGCCATGGATTTGGAGGAAAATATTGTGCAGAGATTGTTCTCAATAAATACGTTTCAACATCTTGGAACATTAGCTTAGCAGAAGTAATCGGAATTATTGTTTTCATAGCGGGAATCTTCTTATTAGTTGGGATTTTTGTTTTCTGCCGCAAACTGATCAGTAGAAAGAAGAAACACCAGCCAGAGTCGGAAGATAAACACCTGGGAACAACAACAACAACAACTTTCTTGCAAAGACCATATTTTGATTCAAAACTGAATAAGAACATTTACTCAGATATCCCACCCCAGGTGCCTGTTCGTCCCATTTCTTATACTCCAAGCATTCCAAGTGACTCCAGGAACAATCTTGACAGGAATTCTTTTGAGGGGTCGACCATCCCAGAGCATCCTGAGTTTAGTACCTTTAACCCAGATTCTGTACATGGCCACCGAAAGGCAGTGGCTGTCTGCAGTGTGGCACCTAACTTGCCTCCGCCACCTCCATCTAACTCTCCTTCAGACAGTGACTCAATTCAGAAACCTAGCTGGGATTTTGACTATGACAGTAAGCAATCATCTTTTGTTAAAATATATTTGTGGTACAACTATATTTAGAATTCAGAGTTTGAGTCTATAGTACTAATATAGGGCTATGAGTTTATGGATGTGTTTTACACAAAGAAAAAATATTGAGTCCATTAGATTTTATTGTAAACAGCAAGACACGAGATACATCACATACGAGGAACAGTGTACACAGATATATTTTACTGGCAGTGGGAGTTGCCTCTTGCTCGGAGGTTTTGTCACAAATACTTTCAGACTCCTTGGGGGCATTAATTTTTATGAAGAATATTCAATCCATAGTACATTAATTTTTTGACATTACATTTCTTTTTGCTTTCAGCTAAAGTAGTAGATCTTGATCCTTGCCTTTCAAAGAAGCCTCTGGAGGAAAAGGCCTCTCATCCTTACAGCACTAGAGAAAGTATGTCTGAGGTCCAGTCCCTTAGCTCCTTCCAGTCAGAGTCATGCGATGACAATGGTATGTAATGCCTAATCATTCTTTTCTATTGCTCACACGCATTTGTTTCCCTGCCTATCACCCCATATAGATGTGTATATAGTTACCTATATCCATACATAGATTTTATTGTATATATATGTAATATATGATATTTTTATTTACATACTCTATAGGTTAGTTCCTGAAGGCTACTTAAACCTGTAAAATTAAATAAGTGTTTCAGCTGTATTACATTTCATGTTAAATACTGTATCCTGACAAAATATTTATTCCACTGTAAAGTACTAACAACGACAGATTCAGTATTAGGTGTTTGGTGGTGGTAGGCGGTACAAAAGTTTCTTGATATATGTAATCATTGGTTACAAGTTTATCCAGGTCCTCTTTATAAAAAAAATTAGCCTCTGCACAAGTGTAGTTTTAGCTTTGACATTCAGCTTTCAGTAAAACTTTTTGGTGTTACAGTTTCATTTGTTTCCTTTTTTTTCTTGCTGCGGCCTCAGCTCCCATATGGATCAGATCAGTACTGAGTGAGAGCAGAGTTTAAGGGACTGCTTGTAAGTTGGATTATATTAGTAATGAAGGAAGTTGTGCAAAAGGGATTTTACTGTAGAAGTATAGTAGTAATTATCTGGCTTTTGTCATGATCAGATATGAATATATACAAAACGTCCGTGTATCAAAAACATACCAATACATAAAACAAGAATATTATTCTATAATCAGTGTAAATAGTATTTTGATGGTGACTCTGGGAACTTAATTTTCAGTCTTTGCTTTTTACTAATTGGGAAGCTTTCATTCAATTTTATTTTCATTCTAATTACAGACACCTTTTGCTTTTATATGAACACATCATTTTCATTTACAAAGTTTCAAGGTTAAGG